GTTCAGTTAGTGAATTGAAATTTCAATATAGGCTACAATTACGAGTAATATAATGTAAAATAGATGTTGTTATTTACTTGTTTACTACTTTGCGAAGACATAATTATAGTAGCGATTTCTAAGGTCGTTACAATGAGATTTTCAATATTTTTTTCATCTATTATGATTCTTGGTCATGAGATTTTCAATCTTTTTTGGTCATGAGATTTTTCAATCTTTTTTGGTCATGATATTTTCAATTTTTTTCATCTATTATGATTCTTTTATAGTCCTAACATCCTTTAATTTTAGTAATTAATCATATATATATATATATATATATATATAATTGCAAAGATATTTTAATTTATAATATTAATATTTCATGAAGATAAATTAGGATAATTTTCAAATGTCATAATAGTAATCTTATAAAAAATTTATATGTTAAATATCAAATAACAAAAATAATATCACGAAAGAAATACATAACCGTAGTTCAATACTTCATTTACAAATTTATCACTAAAATTGCAAACCTCCCACAAAATTACCCATGCCTAGGTGGTTACCAAAGAAGCTTATTGAGATGTAGTGAACAATTCCATAAAGGGACTTTTTCTTAAGGAATTTTTTTTATTTGTAGTATTTTATAAAATTCATAATTTTACATATATAATGACATTTTAGAAACCAAATATTGAATGTCCTTTAATAATACAATTATTGATAATATTTTATATCATCACAAATTAATAATTTTTTTCTCAATCATTCTACATTCATGCATCTTACATCTTCATTTCTAAATTTAAATTCACATTTTTCATACCAATTATATAATGTAAAATAATAAAAAAGAGTTAAGATGATGTCCTTGAGAAAATTAAAATTCAAAATATCTTATAGCAAAATTCTCTCATCGAAGGTAAACATATCTAATAGCAAAATATCTTGAGACAAGATATCAACCTTTTAATACATCCTATTTTTGAATCACAAAATTTGTATAAGTAATTGAATAAAAAAGAAGAATTTTTTTTTCCTTTAATAGTGACTAATTTGTAACACTTGGCTATGAGAACTTTTATTCATAATTGTAACTACCACTTGGCTATGATTTTTTATCCAATATCAATAATCCGTACCAAGATCATTCATAATTGTAACTACCACAAATGCATTTTCACTTTGTTTGACAGTGAAAACCTCGTATATTATTTTCTAATACGATTATTATTCAGAAAATTATAGGATATGATTTAAAAAAAAAAAAATCAAAGTTCTTGATTTGGGCAAGAAAATTTTTACTTGACCCCACAACTCGAATCAAATGATCTTGTTAGAAAAATTACAATACAGGATGAAATTTTTTTGTTTGGAAACTAGATCAATTATTAAAATTTAAAGAAGAAACAAATCAATATTTCAAGTACAAGTAAAATTCAAGGATTTATCCCTAATAATTTGAGTTGTGTTTCCACTTGTAGTAGAAAATATTTTTTTCAAAATAGTTTAATTTGGATGACCTTTCAAGGATTAAATGTGATCTGATTTTTTATCCAATATCAATAATTTGTAAATCAAAACAATATTAACAATCATATTCATAATTGTAACTAGTACATATATCTTTTCACTTTGTTTGATAGTGAAAATCTCAAACACACACACACATATATATATATATATATATATATATATATATATATATATATATTTTTTTTTTTTCTAATGCGAATTATTATTCTTAATTTTCTTTATTAGAAGATTGATAAGATGATTTAAAAAGAAAAAAAAATCAAAGTTCTTGATTTGTGTGATTACTAGGCCTCAAGAATGAAATCAAATGTTAAAATTACAATAATGAATGAGTTATGTCACTTTGGCATCTACTAAACCAAATTTTGTTGAATGTTGAAAAAAAGAGAGAGATTCACTTATAAAGACATGACACTTTAGTCAGCATAAGAAAATGCGAATATAGGTAATGAAAAAGTATTTGAATGAGAATGTAATAATTTGTAAATAATAGAGAAATCCTATTTATAAGATTCTTATCAAGGTAACCATTTGTATATGTTCATGTTGATTATTACTCCATCTATTTAAAAATATATGAAGTTTAAGGTTTGGTTACACAAAACATTAACTTTGAGATTCTTCCTCTCTTTTAAGAAGAGAAATGTGAGAATGTGAGACATTTCCTCATTTTATTAAAAATAAGACTTCCTCTATGATTCTTTTAATCTTGAAAATTTCAGTACCAACCATTTTAATTTGAAAAGGGTGAGGTTTTCATTTCCCATAAAAAAAAATTAGTATGACTTATATATATATATATATATATATATATATATATATATATATATATATATATATATTGCATCGTAAAAGTCACTAGTTTACATACATGAATATCATAAACAAATTTTCATTATCTAATATAGATTTAAATATTGAAATCACATAATCTAGAAAAGGAAAATGAAGGTGCTTAACTTATTTTTGTAAAAGAATGTGTCAATAAATTTCCAACCCTCTAATGAAAGCCCAATTGAATGATGCCACTCAATTCATGGAGGCCTAGCTTTGTTCCTTCACATTATCTATGTGATGCGCAAGACAAGTGGTTACACCTCACCTGGTGAGTCTCTAGTTGTCTCGGAGGCAGGAGAGATCATCTATATGCGGATTATAGGAGCATGACTAGAAGGGAGGTCTCCTCCTCACCTTCCATTTTAAATTCACTTAGTATTTATGTTTTGGACTCATTTTCACTTTCTTTTTGTAGGACCACTTTTTACACCTCCCTTTTGAAGATTACTACCTCCTTTTGTTGGAAAAGAAACCTTGGATCCATAGGATAAATGCATGGGCAACCCAAAGGTATAGGACACTCCTTTTTCATATCATACACCTCTTTTTGAAGAGGTAGAAGATTGACTTGTAGGTTTGATTGGCTTTGGACAACCCATAGGGGATCTCACCTCCTTTTTCATGTTCTTCACACCTTTAGAGGCATTTTTGGTGGGTTAGGATCAATTTAACATATTTGGGCCATAGGGACTCTTAGTCTTTAGATTTAGGTTAAGTTTATATCTCCTTTTGTAATTCCATCTAGGTCCCTTTCTCAAAAGCCTATAAATATAAGGTTTCCCCTCATGTAATTAGGTTGAACATTTTATGACAAGTTTGTGAGGTTTCTTAGAGTGTTCCATTTCTTCGAATGTCTTATCTTGAACCTTGGTTCAAGTGGCGACAACCACCACTTATCTAGGGTGGCTCATTCCCTAGTGGCATGCTAACACTCCACCACCACCATATTTCTCTTCTCTTCATCTTTTCTTCTTTATTCACACCATTTATTTATCCAAGGGGTTGGTCCATTTTTTCTGTCTTTGTCTTTATTCTTTTCTAGTTTCATTTCATCTCCTCCTCCCTCCATAATCCTTGAAAATAAATCATCATATCTAGATAGACATCTATCTTAATGTCCAATGAAAATTTTTTAGGAGAACATTTTTGGCAAGAACACTAAATTGTTTTATTCTAGGAGCTGAGTTGCCTAATAGGCCAACATACAGAAGTAATCCTCAAGAAACTCCAAAATCAAAAGACAAGTCAATGAGTTACACTAAAAAGTCAAGGCTCAAATTTAGTCAAATTTAGTTTGGACCTCAAGCTTAATTATGTCTCACCTAACCACATATGCTTGTTACATATGCTTGAACTATTGGAATTTTAATTTTCTTTATTTGATTTGAAAGGCGTAAAAACTAGTAGTATTTATAATTTTGAAAATGAATGAAACAACATATGTTATTGTAGTATTTCTAAAGTGTGAGATCATCTGCTAAGATTCTTACTTGAACCAATGATCTTATTAAGGATTTCTCTAATTCTTGTGGTGATTAACTCGATTTATCAAACTTTTAGTTTGTGGAGCTTTGCTATCATCATCATTTAATTCTTGTAAGTTTTATAATCGTTTTACCCCAAAAATTTTCAAATTAAGTCATTATTGCGGTTTGTTTTCTGTTTAGGGGCAAATTAAGTCACATTTATATCTACTAAACTACTTGATCATTTTCGACGTTTAATATATCAAAATTACAGTTCCGTACACTAAGATTTCTTTCATTTTTTCTACTTAGATTTAAAATTTAACTTTAACAATATATGTATAATAAAATTATGCATTAAAAATTAATGTATGAAATGAAACTCAACTTTAATTAGAAAAAAAAAAACTAATACCAAGAACCTTTTTGAATTACTAGTAGAATAAAAGCAAATGAAATCTTGAAACATCTTATCTAGTGTAAGATCTCAATTTTGCAAATATCCTCTTTTAAACTAATAATAAACAGTTCTACATGGATAACATCATCTTGTTTCTCTCTCCTAGTACTAAATAAGAATAAAAGTATTGTATGTCTTCAAAATAGATGAATTAATATTAAGAAATTAAATAGAAAGATATAAGAGGAAAATATAGCACTGCAAACTTTCATCTGGTTGATATCCAGAATTTTCAAACGTTTGAACTTACAAGATTGCTTCATTTGGGATCAAGATAGAATCAGAGAACTTTTAGACTGAATGTGATAGTGTCAGTATAAACAAGGAAGCAAATAATGTTAATGATTTCAACAGAAGTGCTCATGTCCTGACCAAACAAATATCCAAGTCATTTAATAGAAAAAAAATGTTGAAGCCATGATTTACGTGGGTTAGTATTAGTGCTTTACTCTGTTAGTTTTGATACTTGGCTTGATGCTTAACTCAGTTGGTTTTGGTGCTTGTTTTACTGCAGTTCTCGATGGGTAGTGGTGCCGGTCTCGGTGAATCATGGTTCAAGAGAAAGGAATGCATGGATGTGCCTAAGCATGGCTTCATAGCCTTCCAGACTAACCTTGGTACATATTAAACTAATCTAACCAAGGACCAGAAGACATTCTCTTTACATTTGCTATCCTGCTAAAATGAGGCTATGAATTACATGAATGTGCTTCTACTCAACTTGCAATCGATGCCCAACTAGGTGGAAGCCTTTCAGAAAAGGTAGGCACGGCTCTCACGTTAACGTCCATAGGCAGGAAACGGTAATTAAGGTCGAGCTCCCTGAAAATCTTCATCAACTCTTCAAGCAAAAGGGATCTCCTCACATACCTTTCTACCTGGTCTTGGAAGTTCATCCTATGATTTGGCCAGATAGCCATTTTCACCATGTCTAATGAATAATGATCCCTGACTACTACAGTAGGTGCAGGATACCAGTGCTCCTTCTTGTTATCACAGAAACTGCATTATGGTCATCAGTTATTTAAATCAATCAGATATCAGATTTAGAACAAAAAGAAAACAATAAGACAAAGGACACAGAGACATTTCTCGGCACATACTTTTCTATTCTGTGTTTGATAAGGGAAATCTTATCAATTGGAGTACACATATGTACGTAGAATTCGATAATATCTGACATGTCAGGACTCCGGTAATAGTTAAATATAGCTTTGGTAGCAAGGACACTGTTAGGGATGATGACCTTATGATTATCAAATTTCAAAAATATGGTTGTCAATATGTTCATTTCTTCTACAATCATCTGAAATTGGTAAGCACACATGGGGGGGCGGGGAGAAATTAGGCCACGTCTATAAGAAAATTGAATGGGTAAACTCGTGGAGGAATGAACATTACCTGAACCCCATCAATTTCACATCTATCTCCCACATCAAAAGGATGCATGACAAAAAGGAAAATAATTGCTTCAAATATGGTCTTGCAGGTGTTTCCAAATATAAATGTAACCAAGACAATCTGTGAACTCAAAAAGACAAGAAATTTGGTGGTGGCAAGTTCTAATAACAAGAGCCAAATAATCACTATAACGATTGCAACTATAAAATTGAGCATTCGATGAAGTTTGTTCACTGCCGTTTTGGTGTCATTCAGTGTCAAAGCAAGTGCTTTCCTCTCCCTGAAGGCATTGACCTGGGTAGTTAAAAGCAAGATACTGCTGTAAATACTATTAAAGCGAACATACACAGTTGCATGTAAATATTAATTAAAACTAGTCTGTAAATGCTATAAAAACAAAGCACAAACTGTTGCATGCAAACAGCAATTGAAACCCAGTCAAGGGTAACAACAATATTGACTCTGACCTCTATGCAAAAATTATTCATAATAACAAAAATGTCTTTTGAAGCCCGTGAGAACATGCACGCATTAAAAATGATACACTATTATATGTCAAGGTTTGTCACATGTCATAGAACCATATTGAAAATGTAAAAAATAAAAATAAAAATTCTCACCACCCAGTTCTTCAAGGCTGCTTTACTTATTTTTCCAGAATCAGATGCTCCTTCGAAGAGATTCATAGTTTTTGCAGCTTCATCTTCTTGCATAAACCGCATCAAGTCATCCGGGTATATAAACCTACAAAACAGAAAGCAATAAGAAAACAGAGAAAAGGATTCTCTAAACTAGAAAAGCTTGAAACTATCAAAATTTGTATGCAACAAACAACAGATGAAGTACAAATATAACCTGCACCCACGCCTAGCAACATTATGAAATATTTTTTTAGCAGCAGCTTTTGCCTCAATTTCACTTCTAATTTGCGTGTTCTTCTCATCGTCATGGGCATTGTCAAGTATCTGTTCATCTAAGGTAGAAAGGGCCCCATGCCGGACCATGTTCATCAACCTTTTCATATTCCAGGCAGACACATTGTTGGGATTGAGCTTATGCAGGTTATCGATGGTGATGACATTCCCATCGTCAGAATGCTTAGAAAGAGGGTGCGAAAACTTGCCACTCCTACCTATAGGGCTCTTGGGGAGCATTCCACTCTTCAACCTCCCACTCTTATTAGTAGAAAAAGCAGTTGCCCTAAGGTCAGGGGGTATGGTAACCCCAGCATTCTGCAGCTTCTGTACCTCCTCAGCAAGCCTCTCCTCCTCCTCCTCAGCCCTCTTAATCTCCACCAAAGGAGGCCCCGAAAGCGTCTCAATCACAAACTGATTAAACAGTGACTCCTGAATCCTATCAAAGTAGGTACTCACATGGAAAGAAGAGGCCAAGACCTTAACCACGAGAGTCTTCAGCAACCACACCAAAGTCCCCACAAGGAAACACACCAACACCTTATTAACATACTCCAGGAAACCACTGTGGGCCTCCTTCTGCACCCTCTTGTCAAACAACAAATGCCACGCAATCAACACGAGCCCCAACCAAACACAATTCTGAACCGCCTTCTTCACACCGTACACAAAATACAACACCCTCTTCCTCAAAAGGAAGTTCCTCTCAATACAGAACACAGCAATCCTAACAACCCAATCAGACACCAACCTCCCACAGATCAAAACCAGAACCATAACCTCCCATTTCCACAACCTTAGCTGCCACATATCCTTATCCCTCAGAAAAGGAATGCAAAGGGTAGTTATCAACAACCCAATGATCAAAACCAAACTCACCCACTCCAGAAGAATCCAGAAGCTGAAATGAGTCTTCGTAAGTTCATCAGGAAGATCGTCTTCCAAAAACGGATCATCCTCCTCCTCGTCGCCTTTCTTCCCTAGAAACCCTGAAACAAGCTGACCCGATTTTAAAACTCGACTCGATTCGTCTGGCGGGTCCATCAACCTGGACCTCGTTTTCGCCTTCAACAACGCTGATTTTCTCTGCATGGAGAGGTTTCTCTCGAAGGAAGCGTTCGAGGTGCACCGCAGAACCTCGCCGTCGCTGCTAGGCGACGGCGAAGGCGAGCGGCGACGATCATGCTGCGGCGGTTGTGGTGGGCGGTTGTAATCCGTTAACGATGGCGACTCCTTGCTGTGCCTTCTCCTGAAGACGTCGTTCTGCCCGAGATTCATGCTGGAAGAGGGTTCATCGAAGGAGACTTTCAGCTCCCTGGAGGTGCGGTAGTTCATCGGAGACTCTTCCACCGGCGTTAACCTTCCTTCTTCGGTCTCGCGCTGGAGTTCCTCCATCTCCAAATCCATATCGAGTTGTAATTCCCCGGAGGCCTTCTGTTTGTGGAGGAAGCGCCCGATCAACTGCGACGGCGGGTCTTCCGCCTGACGAAAATCGAAACTGTCGTCGTCGGCAGCAGCAGCGGAGGAGCCTTCGCCACCCCAAAATTCGTAACTTGATCTGCGCCAAATCTTATTTCCCTTCGAAGGATTATTGGCGTCATCGATTTTGACGACGTAGTCGTCAGTGTGCATTTCGTTGTCGCGGTGCGCTTCTTGTTGTTCGAGGAGAATAGGAAGATGCTCGTGGTCAGAATTTGGGTTTCCGGTGCCGGAAAACCTTTTGGATTGTTTGGAGGAACCATAAGATTTGAAGGACTTCCTGATCCTTTGCATAGGGAAGAGAAGTAAATGATGATGCACATTCTATTCAAATATAATAATAATAATAATAATTGTTATTATTATTATTAAAATAACGATAATAATAATTTCATTTTAATAAAACTGGGGTAAAAATAAATAAAAGTTTTATTTACCAAACAATTTTTATTTTTTTAAAAAGTAGAAATGATTTTTGTGGTTTGGCAAAGGAAAATTGGAGTTGAATTTGAAAGGGTCTTGGTTGGATGGTGTCTTGACGCGTGTAACGCAGATTGAAATCGATGATGTTGTTGAGAAGAATAATGTTGTTAGTAAATTTGTTGCAGATTAAGGAATGAAGTGAAGTTAGTGTTTTTGTTTAGCGTGGGAACGCGGGAATCGAAAACGTTCTTCTTCTTGTTGGTGCGAGATGCGGTGGTATTTCTGGAACATCCGGTTTTATGTTGTGCAGTGTGGGGCTAGTGCATGCGGAGGGGTGAACAGGTGCCACATTTTTTGTTTTGTTCTGTTCGTGCTATACAATAACCAAAATTTGTTAATTGTTGCTGCCACACCGTTTCACATCAGACTGGTTCGTTGCCGTTTATAAAAAATGAAACAAAAAGTAGTCGTTTGTTTGACATGACTTCTTTTTTCCTTTATTGGACACAAAAAGTGCAAGATTTTATACCTTTTTAGCGTTGCTTTAAAGTTCACATGAATGAAAATGAAACCGTTCAACAATTATATCATACAACTAAATTCATTTTAGTTAAACTTGAACTCCAACTTACTCTTACTTAACATGAATCAAACTCCAATGTATATAAAAATGGTATATAGTGTACAACTTGTTTTGGTCCACGTTTCTAACTTCATGTTGAAATTCAGTTAAGAGAGCTTCAAAATACCTTAATCTAAACACCGGTTAGGAATTTGTTCAAGAGCACCAACCTCCACCATGAACCAGCTTCTGTTATTACAGTTTTATATACTCAAATTAAAATTTATTAATAGTAATTTTGTTTTAAGATAAAGACAAAAACAGTAGCATATTTATGCTAAACGTTAATATTAATTGGATACGTTAAAGTAAAATTTATATTATTCCAGGTGTGATGTTTACTGTGTATTAAAATTATTTGTGTTGTGTTTTTTTACAGTAAATTTTAGTGTCTCTTGTTATCTATCTCAATGTGAATCAATGCACCTAAAAAAATACATATTATTATTGTGATCCTTTAATTTAGATTAAATATGAACGCATGTGATAAAATGTGTAAATGTGGTCAATTTTAATTAAGTAGGAAGTCACTCGTAAAATTAATTTGAAAAATGTCATTATTTACTTTGATCACTTTGCAACATGCAAACATAAAAGTGGTCGTGGTTATGATATCAATTATACCCAAACATACATGAATCTTACATATTGCATATGTTACTTGTTCGTCAAAACTTACATCAAAACATACAATATAAAGAATGAAACAACAATATTGAATTATTTGTCCATATTTGTTCTGTCTACTAATTTTAACATGTTTATATTTTTAAAAATTATTAATATATATATATATATATATATATATGCTATTATTTTTAAGTGTTTACTACAAGAAAAAACGGTATTAGCAATCGAAAAAATCGGTCGCTATTCTGTTAGCGACCGAAATTAGTGACCGAAATGGTTGGTCGCAAAAGGGCAAGTCGCTAATTTGTTAGCGACCGATTACAGATCGGTCGCTAAATAGCGACCGATCAAGTGGTCGCTAAAGTGGTCGCTAAATAATTTGGTCACTTATTCTTTGGAGACCAAAATAGCGACCGAAAATAATATAATAAATCAGTCGCTAAATCGGTCGCTAAATCCGTGGTGAAATTTTAAAGAATAGCGACCGATTTATTCGGTCGCTAATATATTAATATAATTATTTAAATAATAATTAAAATCGGTCGCTAAATTGGTTGCTAAATTGGAGACAAAGTTAAAAATAATAGCGACGGATATAATCGGTCGCTAATATATTAATTGAATTATTTAAATAATAATTTAAATCGATCGCTAAATCGGTCGCTAAATTTGAATTGTATATTATAATAAATTTGTAGCGACCAAAAATTCGATCGCTAATCTAACCAAATCTGAAAATTTTCGTTTAAAATTTTGTATATCCAATTTGACAAAATTTGTACCTATTTAATTCATCCAAACATAACACAAATGAAAACTTAAGAACTAAAGTCAAATTATTCAAATCATAAAATTTGTACCTGCTTAATTCATTCAAACATAACATAAATGAAAACTTAAGATAACATAACATAACATAACATAATTCATTCAAACATAACATAACATAACATAATTCATTCAAACATAACATAAATGAAAATTAGTCCTCCGGTATATTGTCGGTGTCATGTTGACTAGTGTCATGTTGACTTGTAGTAGGATGACTATTCATTTGAATATGTTGTAAAATAAGTTTCATCTGCTCATCTTGTTGGCGTTGGTTGTTCCTCAACTCCTGCATCTCTTCTTCAAGTGTCTTCTCCTTATTATACTTTGCCACCAATTCAGCATTTAACTTTTCAATAGTCTCACGCATTTGTTCAATTTGATGAAGTACTGGAGTTTGAGTAGAAGATTGAGAACCTGATGTAGTAGTGAACTTTTTGCTCAATGTACCAAGTCCATACACATTTCCTTTTTTATTTTCACCTCCAACAACTGAAATGTATATTTGATTATCATCAACAGAGACAATAGGAGACTCTTGTGAAGATGAGCCTTCACGCAAGTTTTGTTGATGGACTTCTTCTCTGCGCTGCATATATTGTTCCTAAAAATGAAGTGAAATATAATTATTATGAAGAAAACATATATTGAATAATAAACTATAACTTAGATGTTAAACATACAGCAAGATAACGAGTTTTTTCATTGACCCATTGTCCAGTCTTTAATTTCTTTGTCCTCTCAACAACCTCCCAAACGGTTGGTTCCCGTTGAAACTCCGTAGTCTACACATTAAAATGAGACAAAATTCATTACCTAAAGTGTAATATATTGTATTAAATTACTTATATAAAAATATAATAAACTTACCATCTTCTCAAAGTGAGCTGCAGTAGATATGGAACCCCCACGATAAGCTCGAGGCACCCTTATCAACGACTCGATTAGCCTTGGCAATGGCACTCTTGTTTTGGAAATCTGGAGAACTCCAATGTAAGTCCAAAGATGCTCGAACAGCTGGCGGTATCCAGATTCCCGTATCCTTACCCTTCCTAACTTTGTTCATTGAGTTTTTTAAAATTCGAGAACCTTTCTTATCAAAAACAGATCTTATGGCTTGCTCTTGTTCCACATCCCATATATACTCTTTCTGCATAAATAAAATACACAACAAACATTTAATTTATAAGAATAAAATGACATTGTTTGATGTAACTATAATTCAAATTACCTTGAACTCTCCAAACCATCTATCTCGAAGCTCAAGTGAAACCTTTCTCCAAGTGGGACTTGGTTCATCAAATTTTTGTTTGATGATTCTAGAGATTATAGCAGGAGGACCATGAAGCACTTGGTGGATTTGATGAAGACATAGATATAGCTTAGGTTATGGGTGTGTAGATGATTAGGTTTTTAGTTTAAGCACTTAATCTCTTGATAGTCCATTATATTTTGTGATAAGCGCCTTATAATGTTGCATCCCATTGAAAATCATTTTTATGCATGAAAAACTAACAATTAAGTTTTAAAAGAACAAACAAAGTTTTTCAATCTGTTGAAAAGGATTTTCAATCTGTTAAAATCACTTAACGTAATAAGTGGTCATACATAATCGCATTTTCAATTGATTGATTCGCAGAATCAACAAGTTAAAATAACTTAGTGAATTTTTTCAAATATCATGGTTTCGCATTTTCAATCTGTTGAAATGAATTTTAATCATGTGAAACAGAAAGACTATTTTTTCAAGTCTAAGAGTTTTTCGAAAATCAATCTGTTGAAATAATTTTTAATCTGTTAAAACAGAGAGACTATTTTTTAACTAAGTGTTTTCAGGATTTCAATCTGTTGAAATGATTTTTAATCGATTGAAACAGAGAACTGTCATTTTTCATAAAGCTGTTTTAATCCATTAAAAACTTGAATCAATCGATTGAATGAAGCTTTAAATGAAATCAATCGATTGAATCGATGTTTTAATCGATTGAAATAATATTCTGATCGATCATAGTTTCATTCTGATCGATCATAACTCGGTCTGATCGATCATAGTTTCATTCTAATCGATCATAACTCGGTCTGATCGATCATAGTTTCATTCTAATCGATCATAACTCAGTCTGATCGATCATATTTAAGTTCTAATCGATCAGAGTCTCTTCTAAACTGTTTTACTTTAAACTAATCGATCTTTTGACTCTCTGAAACAGTTTTTGACAGTTGGAACATTCTGATTCTATGCCTTACTCTATATATACAGAATTGATCTATCTTTTGAAATACACATATACAATACACTACTTGAGAAAACTTGTGAAATCAATCTGTGAATCTTTCATATACGTGACTTTCTCTGCATTCAAGAATCTTTTTCATATCATAAGGTGCTGTGATAAGAATTGTGGTCAATCAAAGAGAGAAAGTGTTGTTAGAATTTGTTCTGGACAATTAGAACTTCAAGTCCAGTTTTTTTCTTTCCATACTCTTTTGTAAACGTGTGATTGTGCAGGTTGGATTGTGATCTGCACTTGGTACAGTAACTGGGTTTGGTTACTGGGTGGTTTTCAAGATTCTGTCTTGTGGGTTTGCAAGATAGTTCTTGGGGTAGATTGGTGAGTATCTACTGGTTGTAATTTTCACTTGGTATTAGTGGAACTTGGCAGGTTTGTCAAGAACTGGATGTAGCTCTGGATTAGAGTGAACCAGTATAAATTTGTGTGTTAAATTTCTTCTTTCATCTCTTTTATTTTTTGTCTATAAACTTGCTGTGTTTAAACCAAATTACCTTTAC